AAAAAAAAAAAAAAAAAAAAAAAAAAAAAAAAAGGAGAAATATAGTGAGATCCTGCTCTCCTGCTCCAGAATGCTGCATCTGAGCTCTTACAGCCAAAACTTTGACCACAGTCTTGCAGAAGTAAGCAGATAGATGTCTTGGACTGGAAGTTTTTCATTCTTCCTACTATAGTAAATTTAAATTCTCAATACTATCAGCAACAACAAAAACATCTCATAAAGAAACTTTTAGATGTTTTGAGATGGGGTGAAGTGCCCTCTACAGGTACTCAGTTTCTCCCATCACGTATGAGAGAAGTCTACAATTACTAAACTGGAGGAGATGGTTCTGATCAGTGTTCCCTTTGCCATCAGAAATTTGGATTTGCAGGAAAAACATACACAAGAAATTAGCAGAACTACACATGTTCCTCGTGGCATTGATTTCCTGCATTTCCACAGCTTCTTTGTAAAACTCTAGAAAATCTCTTGAAAAGGGGTCATCAGTTCCATTTTTCTAGTGTGGAACTGGACAATGGTAATAATTCAAATCAGGGTGGGAAGAAATACAGGAAAGCCAAATAAATTACAAGTAAATTTACAAAGAGCTAACTTCATTTGCTGATAAATTAAAATGCAAAAAGCCTGCAGCTTGAATAACTAATGCTGAAGTAAAATGTGAATGTACAAGAGACAAGCAATTTTATAGTGCTTATAATATTTTTCCTCTTTATAGAGAGTGATATCATGAAAATGTACATGCCCAGTGAGATGCAACCAGTTCTGTGACAAAATTGCAAATAAAACATAGAATTGTCTAGGAAAAAAAACAGCTTCCTTAACTCCTGAGGGGAAGGGCAGCGAGGAGAAAGGTAAAGAAAGAACACACACAAGCCCAACATACTTTTCCCAAAAAGTTGTCCGGGTTCTTTTAACTTCCTGCACGAATTAGAACCCAGCTTTGGGATCCAATACCAAATAAACACATTTCCTTACCTCCAGAAGTAAAGCTACGAAGAGATTAACCCAGATGACAGAGGAGATCAACCACCAGGCTACAAAATAGATCTTTGCCCACCTGCAGATCAGATTAACAGACAATAAGCCAAGCAGGCAGTAAATACCCTAAGCCTGAAAGTGAGCAAAGCACCATGAAATCACATTTTTCCTTGAAATATAATACTACTTCTTTTCAAATGTCAAAGGAGGTATGGAATAAAAAAAATTAAAAATAGAAAAATCTTCATGAAGTCAGCCAAACAGGCTCACTCCTCCAACTTAACCCACTTAACTGAACTCTGGAGGGACAGAAAAGCAGTTCGGCTGGATCACAGCAAGAGATCTGTCTGGGATACTATCCTTGGAATGGTCAAAAGCAGAAATATAGGAAAGACTGCAAAACCATGGCAAAACATCTATGTTGCCACCCTCTAAGTGCTCCCCCAGTATCCAGCTGCTTGCAGGTCAGAGATGTCTTGAACTGCAGGGAGCTTCCATTCACTGTAGATCCAATGGATTTCTCTGTCATGACTTGTCCAGTCTCCTCCAGATGACTTTAAACATTTATCCCACACAACAGGCTGTAGAACTTAACTAAGGGTTTGGGGTAACCAGCCAAGGGGCACTGGAATAGCTCAACCCAAAAGCTATCCAGTTCACTCAAAGACTCCCATGAAGTCATTAAATACAAATGAAAGACATGCCCAAGATTTGAAAGTCTGCAAAAAAATTGCTCACCCACAGAGAAAACACAGAAGCATTAAATTTGTTTCCTTTACACTTGAATTTCTAAAAGATAAGCAGCACCCCTCTTAGCAGCTGGAATCATGCTACGTGTATAATTCTTGTTTGGTTACCTTACAAGTTGGATTTATAGGGGATTTTTAAAGTATTGTTAATGCTACTTACGGACTGGAATATCTTGAAAAGGCATCCAAAAAGACCTGCCAGTTGTTCACCACCATCACATCCCAGAGGGTCACCACTGCTGCCTAAACAACGTGAGCAGAACAGAAGCTGAGTGGTTATTTCTCAGGCTACTTCAGGCTCAGAAAATGAGGAGAGGCAAGCGGAGAGGGGAGGATTTAATCGATGATCACACTCACAGCGAAGTCATCGAAGTTGTTGGGCCAATATTCCAGCTGCTCGTAGGTCCCACACTGCAAGGTGCCATTATCAAATGTGGTGTTGGCAGCACTGCAGGAGAATCACAGGCTGATGTGAGCACAGCTTTCTGTGAACTGCACCTTAAAGCCAAAATTATTCTGAGTGGCTTGCACTAAGCTGAGTGTCTCAAAAGGCAGGAAAACAAGGGAAACGGTTCAAACCCAGATAAGCCTCCCTGCAACTTCAACGCAGCAAAAAGGAACAGGAGATAAATCTTGTGATTTAACATTAAAATTAAGAGTAGCTCCAAGAATAAGACGGAAAAAAACCAAAAAAAAAAACCACCACAAACAGCTCAGAGGTACTGAGCTGTAGATGCTTTTGAGAGACAGGATTCTTTGTGAGCAGTGATGTCAAAAACCTTACCTGGTATTTCCCAAGGGAACGACAGCACCTTTGAATAGCATTATGCCAGTTATAGCAAATGCATAGAAAACCACCTGGAAGGAATACAAGCAACTATTAGCTTTGAATATTTCTGTCACTAAAGGAGAAAAAGCAATTCAATCAACATGGAATTCATATTTGTACCACAGGTAAAGGAATTACGTCAAGAACAATGCCTGAATCTTTTAAAGTGAAAATACTCCCCTACTTGTTTGCTCTTACTTTTTAATATTCTGTTTAACTTTCAGTTGTTAAAATGCATTAAATCCTTTTATGATCTATTTTCCTTTGGGTCCATTTCACTTTTCTGTGTCTCAGAATGCTGATATTTAATTGTTAACATCGGAGAACAGCAACTTAAACCAAAACACACTGACAGTATTTACAAAGAACAACCTAAATATTTTTATTTAGGGCGTTTTCTGCGAGATTCAGTGAAAATAAGCTTTCATTACATTTAATTGAAGGACAAAACTAAGTCAGTATTTTATATTATGCCAGCAATTTTCTTTAAAATGTTACAATTAGTCTAAAAATAAAGTTCTCAGTAACACAAAGGGTTTTGGAGCTTCTGCCTTTTACCTGTTGGAAATGCTAACTTCCTGTTAAAGAAACACCTTTCAGTCTTTAGCGGTCACCTGGGTGATTTTGCAATTTTCATTCCTAAAAAGATCATTCTAGAAATAACCTCTTGAGAAAGCTTCCCTCCTCTTGAGAAAGAGCCATTTGTCCCAGGAAAGCTTGAACCACAGCACTTTGAACACCACTGGGAGCAAGTTGAAGCTGACATTTCATGGCCTGCCAGAAGATGGGGCATCTGGCCAGGCAATAAAAATAACTTTATTCTTTGAAAAAAAATCCCATATATTTCAAACACTCACTGCATGAAAAACTAGCTAATTAGTTACATTACATTATCAGCCTGTGTTCCAGCCTAACTTTAGGAAAGATATTTTCTATCAGCTGGCTCAGTGGGGTCAGCTGTCAGTAGAGCAGAAGTTCAGTGGCAGCTTCCACACAGCCCCAGGTAAAAGCAAATTAAACTAATGGAAGTGGCAAACCCTGTGGCAGAGTTGCCTCACAGTCGGTGCAGAACTACAATTCACACTCCTGACATCAGGGACAATCAAAGCAGCTGCCACTTTATGAGAATCATGTCTCACATACGTGGACAGAGACACTGCACTGAAACACTAATGCACATTTAATGAAAATAAAAATAAAGCCTATTACTACAGGTTCTCTCCACTTCTTTCAGGAATGAAGGAAAATACTTCTCAGTTCCAAGAGCAGCTCCCAGGGGCAAGTGCGACACGTAAAGCACAACAAAGTTGTCACCAGATTTGCTTTGCCCCAGCCAACATCTTTATTTCAAGTTGTAACACACACCAACCTAAGGCCCCTTCTCTACAGATAAAAGTAGAGATTATTAATAGCAAAACCAGACATTCTGGTTAAATTGCATGCTAAATGTATAGACTAGAACAACAAATCATTGGCCTCTAACTGCTACCTCAAAATAAGGTATCTTAAAAAAAACCCCATGAACAATAACTAACCAAAACCTAC